TTTGGGGTGATCTGGGGCAGGTTTGGGGCCAGGTACCTTGGTGAAGGCGATGGATTGGGGTGATTTGTGGCATTTTTGGGGTGATTTGGGGCAGGTTTGGGGCCAGGTACCTTGGTGAAGGCGACGGCCCCGGCGTAGGAGACGCTGCCGGGGGGGTGGATCCGCAGGGCCCCCGCGGGCTCCGGCGACAGCAGCCGGGCCCAGTCGATGCCCAGGCGGCTCCGGGGGCTCCCCGAGGCCACGAGGAGCACGGAGGGAGCGCCCAGGCTGCCCCACACCATGTGCAGCGTGGCCCGGGGGCCCTGCGCCCGCACGTGCACCACGTTCACCCAGGAGCCGTTCCAGAGGGAGCCGTTCCAGCCGGGATTCAGCTCCAGGGACACCTGGGCGGGGGGGAAGGGGCACAGGGAGTCATTCCAGCCGGGATTCAACTCCAGGGACACCTCGGCAAGGGAGGGGGGCAGAGCTCGGGGGGGGGCTCCAGCCGAGAATTCCAGGCGGTTGGGGCTGGAATTCCCTGTTTCTCTCTCCAACCCCCCTCTGGAAGTGCCTGGAATTCCCTGTTTCCCTCTCTGGAAGTGCCTGGAATTCCCTGTGTCCCCCTCTGGAAGTGCCTGGAATTCCCTGTGTCCCTCTCTGAAAGTACCTAGAATTCCCTGTTTCTCCCTCCATCCCCCTCTGGAAGTGCCTGGCATTCCCTCCATCCCTCTCTGGAAGAACCAGGAATTCCCTGTGTCCCCCTCTGGAAGAACCAGGAATTCCCTGTCTCCCCCTCTGGAAGTGCCTGGAATTCCCTGTGTCCCTCTCTGAAAGTACCTAGAATTCCCTGTTTCTCCCTCCATCCCCCTCTGGAAGTATCTGGCATTCCCTGTGTCTCCCTCTGGAAGAACCAGGAATTCCCTGTGTCCTCCTCTGGAAGAACCAGGAATTCCCTGTGTCCCCCTCTGGAAAAACCAGGAATTCCCCATGTCCCCCTCTGGAAGTGCCTGGAATTCCCTCTTTCTCCCTCCATCCCTCTCTGGAAGTATCTGGCATTCCCCGTGTCCCCCTCTGGAAGAACCAGGAATTCCCTGTTTCTTCCCGTCCCGCAGCCCTTCCCAACCCACCTCCCCTTCCCACCCCTTTTCCATCCCGCGTCCCCTTCCTTCCCTTCCCACCCCACACCCGGTGCCCCCCGTCCCCCCTCTCCCGTACCCCCCCGGTGCCCCCTGTTCCCCCGTACCCCCC